ATGATGAAGCGTTGTCTCGTACTGGAACATTAGCATTGCCCATTAGCAGCAATTGCAGACAGAAGACTTCGATTGGAGACAGTGACCCGCACTCCGCTTTTTGATAACGCGCACGCTGTGAATTTTGGTTGTTCAACCGCGCACAGGAGAAATCTCGCCCCGGCATTACCTTGGAGCTCAATATCCAGTGCTTATTAGCCCCGAGAACTCAGAGTGGCGGCACCTTGTGGGAGGACTGTGTCACGTCACGGCAAGGACTCTTCGACGCCCACTGTCGCGCACCTACATAACATGCACTCGCATCGTACGCTGTTCTGCTGTTTGCAATCACTTTTCGCTTGACTCAAGCTTCAGATGAATGACAAAAGCAGCATCGATAATGTTCCTAGTGAAAGGAAAAAAAGTACTTCAAACTTCAAAGGCCATATTTATATCTATAGATCGAGGCATTGGCACTCTTGGAACAAAGAATTATCTTCAGTTTGAAAGAGGTCACTGAGCAGGCTTCTTTTTTTTTCTTATTTGTTGCTCAGGAATTATTTCCTTGGTTTTGCACTCTCTTGTCCCGAACTTTCCTTCCTGAATGTCATGTTTTAATGTTCCGTTTTACAAACGATAGCAATTCGGGGCATGTATCTGGTTTCACTGGGTCTTCCATTATTTTAAAATTGTGCTCACTTTATCGCGAAGTCCGAGTGGTTTGTGCACCACACATATTTCACCGGTTAATAACTGCAAAAAAAGGCTACTTCTAGGCATATGTCACACTTAAATAAAACAAGGTTTTGTTCATGTAGTTAGAAGCATTAGTAATGAAAGCATTTATTCCATCACTCATGACGATAAAGAGCTAGCTTTCATGTTTAACAGTCATACAACCCTTATCTCGTTCAACCTCTGAGAGTCTTTTCTCGCATGCAATTGGGGCTCACCCGAAGAGGAACTCGAAATGTGAGCGGCTGCACCCTTAAGCAGCTCTTGCGTGTTGTCTATTCAAGGTCGTTAAGCGGCTGATAACATAACAATGGCTGCCGCAGAATGCGGAAAGATTTTTAATAAACATCCTAGCGCTCTTTATAACTCAAATATTTTCATTGTTCGGCAGCTTGGTGAAATCGCGCAGGTTTCAGCACAATGGTGAATTATAACGGTGATGGCTATAAAGAAGCTTTTTTGTGGCGAAGCTCCTTATGCCATGGATTGTACGTCCCGTGTCGTCGTATTCGTCTAGTAGCTAGTTGATTTGCATTGCATATAAATAAGAACGGCGCCATAGCATAGCCACGGAGTAAACGATGATGAGGGGGGCGAAGCGTTCATCAGTCTGTCCGTGCTTCCATCCATGCGTCTGTCCATGCGTCCGCGCGTGCGCCCGTCCGCCCGTGCTTCCGTCAGTCCATCCGTGCGTCCATGCGTGCGTCCATCGTTCCGTGCGTCCGTTTCAAGCGGCATGGCCTCGTACTTCTGAACGATGCTGAGCTTCCAAATGTCGGTGGACGAGGCACTAACGTTTGCCGATTCCTCTTTGGTCACGCGCACCCATATTACACCGAAGACGGGCTGCGGAGAGCTTCGCCCCACTCGTCATCATTTACCTCGTGAATAAACTGTATTTTTTTTTCGTGAAAAAAAAACGGCACATCAAAGTAAATATGTGTATTATACAGCTTATCGATCCTGAGTTCCAGAGTTAACATCGTGGCTGACGGTTGCCTCCTCCGCAATGTTCTCTCTTCGACGACCGCTCGCCGATCGGGACTACGTCCACGGAATTCTCTAACCTTCTCCCAATCCTGTACTTTTCACTCAAACTTTACTTCTCTCCGTGTCTATTTTGATCCCTCCGTATCTTTTCCTTTCTGAGCTACTGCTGAGGTGTCGCACTCTGATGCAGACAGTTGTGGGACTCACTTTTTTTATTTTTCTTAGTCCCACCCCTCAGTTCCTGAAACAAAGCTATTTCGTAAAGTTTAACACATTTAGAATCCCCCCTTTCCTCTTAAGTCTTTCGACAGCAAAGAAAAACAAACTGCCCATGAGTCTGAAAGTCACTTCTTTTTTGAAAAGAAATATTGTGAAAAGAAAGTGGAGTTTCTTTGCTAGGACTGCTTAAAGTTTACAATAGCCAAATTGGTGCAAATATTTTAGCGCAATAGCGATAGAACTCGTTTTGCATGAATTGCGGCGTCAGTGCCGTCGTTGATTGTGAGGAAAAAATCATTATCTGTTCCATGAACAAAAGAATTGAGAGACACAAAACCAAAAATAACAGAAATTCCCGTGTCTGAGTGAAAATCAAACCCAAGCCGTTTGCGTGGCAAGCAGGTGTTTTACACTGTAAACCATTTTGCACTCTTAGAGGTGCTTTGCGTGTGTTTTGATTTAACAGCCCTGCTTTAGGGTGTTAGTTATCGACACGTAAAGCAACCGTAAGGGTGCAAACTAATTTAATGTGTACCACACTACCATGCGTCTTTTTTTTTTTTGTACCAAACAACCGTGTGTCTGCTTGGAAATACAGTTAAAAAAACTTCATCCGCTTAGAAACGCAGTGAAAATAACGTTCGTACCTTACTGGAAGACGCGTCCTGCATATGGGTTTCTTATCAACACGTAATATTGCAATAATATTGCGGGATGCGTACATTGCAATCGGGCGTCATAAAAATGTGACAATCATAGTGACGTTTTGATTGATACCGGCCATCCATTACAAAAGACACACACGTTTCTTCGCGTATTTCGTTAAGACCACGTAATGTGTGGGTAGCAATTAAGTTCAAAAACATTTCACGCGCATATTTGTTCGTGGTTTAAAGCATGCTAGCCATTACACAGAACACGGGATCACATCCCAGCCGTGGCGGCCCCATTGTCGGTGGAGGCAAAACTACTGAGGCCCGTGTGCTTAGATTTAAAAATTGAGGCGCACTGTAAACATCTCCAGGTGTTCGAAACTTCCAGAGCCTTCCACTACTTACTACGACGTTTCTCATAATCATATGACGTTTTTGGGACATTGAACCCTTACAACTACAGTCAAACCTCCATATATCTAACACGGATATATCGAATTATTACCTATATCGAACGGATGGATGGATGGATGGATGGATGGATGGATGGATGGATGGATGGATGGATGGATGGATGGATGGATGGATGGATGGATGGATGGATGGATGGATGGATGGATGGATGGATGGATGGATGGATGGATGGATGGATGGATGGATGGATGGATGGATGGATGGATGGATGGATGGATGGATGGATGGATGGATGGATGGATGGATGGATGGATGGATGGATGGATGGATGGATGGATGGATGGATGGATGGATGGATGGATGGATGGATGGATGGATGGATGGATGGATGGATGGATGGATGGATGGATGGATGGATGGATGGATGGATGGATGGATGGATGGATGGATGGATGGATGGATGGATGGATGGATGGATGGATGGATGGATGGATGGATGGATGGATGGATGGATGGATGGATGGATGGATGGATGGATGGATGGATGGATGGATGGATGGATGGATGGATGGATGGAGGATGGATGGATGGATGGATGGATGGATGGATGGATGGATGGATGGATGGATGGATTGGATGGATGGTATGGATGGATGGATGGATGGATGGGATGGATGGATGGATGGATGGATGGATGGATGGATGGATGGATGGATGGATGGATGGATGGATGGATGGATGGATGGATGGATGGATGGATGGATGGATGGATGGATGGATGGATGGATGGATGGATGGATGGATGGATGGATGGATGGATGTGGCTGTACCCCTTTAGTTCGGGTGGTGGCTAGCGCCACTGAGCCGTAATACTTAATGAACCAAAAACTAGATTTATTTTTTTCTTTAAAAAGTGAGTTTGAGGATTCGTAATTTGCAGTGAAGGGTTTAATTTTCACTCGTGCCTTGACTTTAGCCACCAATCAGATAACCTCCTTCTAGTTAAGTCTACCCCGGGTGCCTAAAGTCTATTTTGCCCTCCCGGTCCCTAAACCCCAGTGCTTTCAAAAACTCTGCGCCATCATCCTGAACTATAGGGTGAAGCCCTTTACAGAACATTCTCAAGTGTTCGGCAGCTTCTTCTTCCTCTCCACACGCGCTGCATACTGTGTCTACCCCTTCGTATTTGGCCCGAAATGTCTTGGTTCGCAGTACTCCCGTCCTGGCCTCAAACAGTAGAGAACTACTCCGAGTATTATCATAGATCCTTTCCTTAGCAATTTCCTGCTTAAAAGTTCGATAGATCTCTAGTGCGGACTTCTTAATCATGCCCATTCTCCACATGTCAGTCTCCGTTTCCTTCACTTTCTTCTTAACCGATAGTTCTTTTTGGTTTGGCCACCTGCTGTTTTCTAAGTATTTACCAGTCAATTTCCTGGTTCGCTTCCTCCATTTTGTATCGACATTCTTCATGTACAAGTAGCTGAAAACCTTCCTAGCCCAACGCTCCTTCACCATTTCTCTCAATCGCTTCTCAAATTTTATCTTGCTGCTAGCTTCCCTGCCCTCACATGATGTCCATCCCATATCACCTTGTACTCGATGGCGCCGAGAGCGCCACTTTTAACGTAGCGGCGTACGCGCGCCGCAGCCTTGCGGTAGAGGTTCTTGAATGAGGAAAGTGAAGAGAAAAGCGCGGAGTCTTTCAATACGAAGGCACCGACACGGCTTCGCGCGGGGGAAGGGGGAGTGGGAGGTAAAGATTGAGGAGGAAAGTATAGGAGGGAAAGGACGCAGACGACTGTCTCGGACGCGCCCCGCGCTGCCGCCGGGAAAGAGAAAGCAGTCAGGCGAGCCGGCATGGGTGCGCTATAGTGAACTAGAAGTACTCTAGTGGCGTCTAGTAACGTTGACGCCGCCTCTCTTGGCGGTCGAAAATACCACGGACCGCCGCTAGGGTTTCTCGTGGCGCTACTGCGCCTTTTCCTAGGCGAGGCGCGGTCACTTGGTGATTCAGCGCGTTAGTTCAGCACGTCTGCCGGTATCCTGCGCATCGCTTTGTCTGCAGCTACAGTACTGCACGTGTACCGGTATACTCTGCTCTGCATTTTCTCGCACGGACCGTTGTGGAGCAGCTGTCTTTATCTGTTCAGGTATTCCGTACCAACAAACATGTAGCTCGTGACATGTCGAAGCGGAGGACGGATTCACACTGTTTTGCTCCGGGTTGCCGAAGCGGCTACCCGGGCGCCCCGAAGGCATCGTTGTTTGCAGCTCCTAGAGAAGACGATCTCCGCAGAAAGTGGGAGCGTAACCTCCGGAGGGATGACAAGCCTCTGACCGAAACATCAGCGGTGTGCGAACATCACTTCGAGCCAAGATATATTCTGCGCGAATATGTGCACGTGATAAATGGCTGTGAAGTGCGCACTCCCCGAGGAAAACCGTCATTGGTGCCTGATGCCGTGCCAACGCTTTTGCCAGGTTGTCCAGCGTACCTTTCCGTCGCTGCGCCCAAGCAAAGACCCGAGAGAAGGAAAGCAGCCAAACCTCCTGAAGGCGCAAGCAGAAAGCGGCGCAGGCCTGATGCACCTGACGAAGTGTGCGACGGCGGTGAAATGGAAGGCATGAACTTTAATGCTGCCACTAGTGCGCGACTTTCAATTGAAGCTATTCGCACACTTGAAGTTCCTGCAAACTACTGGTGTCGTATAGAAGCAGTTGGCCACTGCGATCTAATATTTGTGACGACAGTGATAAGCAAGCGTACAAAACTGGATATTTTTCATGAAAAAGCTGTGTGCTTTATGTCCACAGAAGGAAAAATTGTAGCCCAAGTCTTCTATCAAGGTGTTTTGTGTCAAGAGAAACCCGTGCAATCCCTTGCTGAGGCCACATCCGTATTGGAAGAAGCTCGAGAAAGCCCTGTCTGCAAGGGAGCAATGTGTAAACAAGAATTCAAGCCGCTTTCCTCTCGGCTGACCGCACATCATCGAGCTGAAGCAAACACTGCTGGACGATCCGTGATCAGCGTACGCTGCTTCGGAAAAGTTTCTTCTGAAGGTAAGTGGACGTAAAGTGCATTAGGATGCCCATAACATTACCACATTGCCTCAGGTATTGAGGGGTGTGATTTTAACGTATGCATTGTTTGTTCATTTGCAGGCTCAAGTTGTGCACAATGCAAGTCCCTTAGGAAAGCGTTACTGACAAGAAAGTCGTACATTAACTGTCGTGTACACCTGCCTGTAACGAAAACCCTTTCTTCACGACTGACGCAACAAAAGAAGAAGACAGCACGTCTTCAAAATCAGGCATGTGTACTTAAGAAAAAGTTGAGTGTCATGCTTGCCAAGAATGTGGCAATCGCAGAAGAAGATTTCAATGCAAAAGTAGCTCTCCTACCAGAGAAGCAGCGCGAGGCAACTCTCCACATATTCAAAGCTTCTTCACGGAAGAGTACTAAAGGCATGATATTTTCAAATGAGTGGGTGCTCGAATGTTTGATTATGAAGCTGAAAAGTGCAAGGTTGTATGAGCACTTGAGAAAAGAAAAAATCTTAGTTCTCCCCAGTAAGACTACGCTTCGCAAATATTTAAAATGCTACAGAACTGGGTTTGGATTTAGCAATAAAATCTTTGATGTGCTGAAGCAAAAGACTTGCACTATGGACGAGTTTTTATGCCATGGAGGACTCATCGTGGATGAACTGAAACTCTCGGAGCACCTCTCAGTGAACAGTGAAGGCCGCATTGATGGCTTCGTTGACTTGGGACAGTTTACGTCTGACAAAGATGAGCACAGCGTCTGTGATCACGGTATGGTGATAATTTTTGTGCCCTTTGTTGGCAAATGGACGCAAATACTCGCTGCATTTGCGACTCATGGAAACATAAATGGGAACCTGCTGACGAAGATAATGCTTGAAGCCGTCATTTTAGCTGAGAAGGCCGGACTCAAGGTTGATTTCATTACGTCTGATGGTGCCACTTGGAATCGGGAAATGTGGTCTGTGATGGGCATCAAAGCATCACTGACAGAAACGAAATGCAGCACATTGCATCCAGTGGACCCAACGCGCAAACTCCATTTTCTGTCGGACTTTCCTCACTTAATTAAGTGCCTGAGGAATGGACTACTAAGGTCGGACTACGAAACACTTGAGGGCCGGGTAAGTTGTTTTTGATCACCAAGCATGCTGTACAACTTTATTGATACAATCTGTTTGTTTCTAACAGTTTCTCACTTTGGTATTCCTTTCAGGTATCTTTACAATTCGTACGCAAAGCTTTGGAACTGGATGGTTGCAGTGTCACATTGCAGGCAATGCATGGAATCACCGGAAGCCACACGAACCCCAACAATTTTGAAAAGATGAGAGTATCTTTAGCTTTTCGGAGAAAAAGTGATTCATGGTCTGCAGCTGTACAAGTCAGGAATTGAAGATATCTGTGGTGACATCACAGCTACACTAAAGTTTTTCAAGTAAGTGTCATCACATTGCGGTTTTATTGCGATTGCACCTTTCACCATGCATATGACAGTCTGACTCTTGCTCACAAACACAGATTCATCCTGCTTTTGTTCATTTCACAGGATCATCCATGACCTTGTGCAAATGATGACTTCACGATTTCCAGCTGAAGCGCTGCGCCCAAGTTCAGCAAGTGTTGAGAAGCTGCGATCGTTTCAGGAGTATCTTTCATCATGGGAAGACCACACGAAGGGGCAGAAAGGATTCCTGAGCCAGTCAACAGCAGCTGGGCTGCGAGTGGCAGTGTCAAGTGTGCTTTCTTTGCTTCAGTATCTCACTGAGAAACTAGGCTACAGGTACCTAATGACATCTAGAGTAAGCCAAGATCCTGTTGAGCATCTTTTTGGCATTGTCAGGCAGTCGTCTGGATGTAACACGCACCCAACACCACAGCAGTTTATTAGCACTATCAACTGCTTGAGCTTCAACAATCTTGCTCACTCAGCTTCAAAGGGAAACTGTGAGCCTGCAGTGCTCCATGCCCTTCTACCCGCAAATTCAGGTGCTGAAAATGTTCCATCTGGTAAACAGCGCTTAATGGACAAGTTTATAAACAGTGACAATGTAGCTGCCGTGCAGAGCTCGCTCCCACAGAGTGCGCCAGACCATGCGTCATGCATTATATCTGCCAGTGACAACCGGCTAACATTTTATATAGCAGGATGTGTAGCTAGAAAATGCCTACTGAAGTCTGGCTGCGAAGAGTGCCGTAAACTTCTTCTAATGCAAAAGGAGTCTGCTGAAAGTCTCAAACACCTTGCGCAATTGACACACATGAAAGACAGAGGTGGCCTGCTTTATTTGTCTAGCCTGTTGTTTAAGTTTGTTCATGATTTAGAAAAAGCCTTCACAACGTGTTTCAGTTTGCTGGAGCTGCACGCTGATAGCATACTCCACATTTTAAGCGAAGTTAAGGCAAAGCAAAAAAATGGGCTTGGTTGTCGTGACTATTCTGAAGGCATTGCAGCTGAGGTCATCGTTTTTTACATCACTACTCGTCTGCATTTCCTAACTAAAAGCGTGAACCAGAATAGTGCTGTTAAACTAGTGAAATTTATTTTGTATTTTTTTGTACTCTTCCAACCATCACAATAAATATAAAGATGTTCCTGTTTTCATTTTCGATGCTGAGCACTGTGTCCTTACCATGACCTTCTATGTAATAAGCCAGCACCAAAACTATAGTGGAAGCGCGCCGTAAGCTTGTGATGGTGATGAGCAATCGCTTTGTAGCGAATGTTATTAGCGCGTGTGGTAAATATGAATATATATATATATATATATATATATATATATATATTCTTGGCCAAACTATGTATATACAAACCGCTGAGCCACGCAATAACTAACCTAGCAATTTTACGTTTGCATGAGCCAGGAAGCAAACACGCGCTGCAACTCAGAAGGAGCCAGCGACGGCCGGTCAACGCAGCCGAAGCTCCTAGGAAATGGAGCAGTGGCGCCACCTCGCGCCATCCGTGTGAAAGGCTGGCGCCAGAGCCTGGCCGGTCGCACCACTAGAGTACTTCTAGTTCACTATAATGGTGTCAACGGCACACTGCGCACTTGTTGCAAGCTCCTCCCCCGTAGCATCGGCAGGAATCGGTCGTTGTGCTCGCAGTGTTCGTGCGTTCGGAGTTAGGCCTGTCGCGCACTGTGGTGCGCGACAGGCCTAATGCCTAGTTCACACCAACGCCTCCAGTACAGGAGGCGTTGTTCACACTGAAACATCCGCTTTCTACAGCGACCGATAACGGCGGAGCTCACGGATGTGGAGATTGTCGCCGAAGCTACTGCTGAGCAGCCAAATCTGCCGAGGTGGATCCCGCAAGCGCTGACGGTGCCCCGCTCTCGACATCAGCTGAGGTCGTAGCTGCCTCCTTGTGCGCCGCCACTGCGGCGCGATTGAAGGCAACGGCCTATCATTTATGGATCGCCTGGACTATATTGAGGACGCAGTCGTCAAACACGTCATGGCCAACAAAAAGCAGGCTACTCTTTTTCAATATTTTAAACCAACGCAATAAATACTATGTTTGAATCTTCAAGTGAGTATTTACTGCACCACGCTTGAACGGTTCGTTGGTTGTTTGCTGTTGACGCATTTTTTTAGCGATTTTTTATATCGAATTCTGGATATATCGAACTATTTCATGATCGCCGCGCCGTTCGATATATCGAGGTTCGACTGATTTATTATTATTATTCACTGCTAGTAGGTAAACTTGCACACTTTGATGATTCTTCAATCGTTAACCTATTCCATAGCTATCTTCGTGATAGATCAAGTTATGTTGGTAAGGCGCGTTGCCGGGCTAGTTGCTTGAGCTTCATCATTTATATGGGTATAGCGCACCACAACAAGGACGCAAAAAGAGACACACACAGCGCTGTGTCTCTCTCTTTTTGCGTCCTTGTTGTGGTGCGCTATATCCATATAAAATAAGCAATGTTACCGTTAATGACCAAACATTCTCTTTGTATGAAGCTACTAGTGGGGTTCCTCCACGGTCTGTACTGGGCCAACACCTCTTTTTTTTATTTATTTACAAATACTGCAGGCCCTACTCAGGCCCAAGCGGAAGTGGGAATATCATTACGAACAATACCAACAATAATGCTTAGAATATCAACAACTTTAGTAAACCACAATTAACAAGCGAAAGAAAATGAATATATAAATATGCTTTGCAATAAAATACACACATCATAATTGATAAAATATACACGTACAATACATGGCCACATGAAGTGAAGACTATGCATAAAGAAGTGAAAGCGAGAATCAACTCAAACAAAGTTGTTCAGCATAAACAGAACTTTACATATCAGATGAATGGTTATTTAAAAACTGAACAAATGATTCAGCTGTGTTAGCTTTTACTACTTTTTCGGGTAATTTGTTCTATCGTGATATAGCGTGTGGAAAAAGAAAATACTGATGTATATTAAAATGATTAAATGGCTGCTTGATTGTTTGTTAAGGTTTGTACGACCAGACCACATGAGGGGGAGGGGGGGGGCTCAGTTATGTAGTTTTCACGTAGTGCTTTGTAGTGACCATGGTACAGCTGATATGAAAATTTCAAGCGACTGCCGTTTCAAGCGGGTCAACACCGGGCGCCCCGCTACTGCTTTGCATTCCATCAAATTTCCCTTCGGGAGAGATGGTACACAATTTGTTTCATCTACTTTCACTGAACTGTCCAACGTAATCCCTCCGATATGTGACCTATAGTAATCCCCAGTATTATGCAATACCCCTGTTTGAAATTTTTGACGAATAAAGAATAAATTAACATGTGCTGATGTAGGCTGCGGTAATCGGGTGTTTTAAGTGCAATGCTTCTAGAACTGCTCGTATCAGTTTTTCTACAGAGTCAAGTCCCCTTTCCTAGTTCATAAATGCCATTTCTAAACGTTTTTTGCACTGTGCATGTTTATCAAACATTTGATCACATGATCACACAATCGTACAAAACAGGATGATGCTTGGTGAAACCAACCTGCTGTTTTGTAATACTATATTACTGGACACAATTGCATCACAATGCTATAGTAGTATTACAATGAAGTTGCAGCCTTTAAGTATGAGCGTCAAATGAAAACACACAGTTGCTTTTCTCGTTTATTGAAACAAGCACCACTGGAGAACACTTAGGTTACAGTGGCATCCAGGCGTTATGTGTGTACAGGTTCACAACGCACTATCACTACAAGATACTACGTTAAGATCAAAGAGAACCCTAACCTTCCCCAAGAATGCCTCATCACCTCGTCTGGACATGCCTCGCAATCGGAACACTCACATTGAGAAGACAAACACACAAGCTAGGAACAAATTTTTTTTCTTTGAATTATCTGCAGGAATGTGGGCACAGCCAGCATGGAGATGTGACACCAAGGAACAGCTGCAAGGCATTTATCATCGCAAAAAGAGATGCTTGGACAGTTTGAAAATGACGTTGCTGCAGTGGTGGACTGCCTGAAGGCCAAGGTCCTTTGCTGGTTTGCATCATTCACAGCTTGCTAAACACTGCCACTGCGTGGATGGGTCTGTCAATGTAGCTCATTCAAAATTTTAAAGGAAACTTCAACAGAACACACCGGCCGATTCTGGAACATTTAAGGTGACAACACAAAATGCACTAGTCCGAGATTTTTCCCCATAAATGTGTCCAATGAGCACCAGTGGCATCCCCAGAATACTGACATATGAGCTCAAAAAACATGCGTCATGTTGCACTGATGATACTGGCTGCAGTCACACAATTTATCGCCTCCGCTGCTTACTATCTTTGGTGAATGAGGGAAAAAACCCTGTGAAAAAGAAAAACACGAAAATAAAATGTAAAAGACCAAGAACTGAAGCCATCAAAGCTTCCTTAAAACTCTCGCAGTGGCGACTTGTGAGGTGTGGCTCTGCACTGCATCCCAGGTAAAACTACGAATGACTGGGCAAGAATATCTAGGCCACGTAGATGGAATGGCTGAAAAAGTAAATGTGAGAAAAAAAAAGGCACGAGCCTGTCCAAGGCCCGCCCTGTCCTTGAATTGTGGCGTCCAAAATCTGGGTGAGGAACGCCAGTGATCAACCACAGCTGGGGGGGAGTGTGTCGCCACCCACGTGCTGTGGTGACAAACTGCCATCAATTAGGCAGTTCAGAGGCATGTCCAGACAAGGCGGCACAATGGGCCTCAACTAGGGGCCTTCTCAAAGAGTGCGTAGGTCAAGTCGTATGCATTGAAGCGGCACACCTGCAGCTCCTTGCGATTGTAGTTGTGGAACTCTGTGTTGCAGCTCTCTTTCATCCCTTTGGCAGCCACTGAAAGCTGAAATGAACATAATATATGTACTTTCTTATGGTAATGACAGTCTCTAGAAAGAAATATGTTCAGCAATATAACTTTCAATAAATCAATATCTTCAACTATATTATCGAAGGCTTGCATTTCTTCTAAATTGGGTTAAATGGCTATCTTGGATAGCACCTACTAACAAGTGGCACATTACTGCTCAACTGTTAAATTTTACAAGCTCACGTAGTTTCTTTGATTGAAGAAACTTGGAAACAGTAGGACAGACTTCATCTATGAAACATGGTATGAAAAAACTCCCAAGCCTTTCCCCGAAGGTGAACATGGTTAAGTGCGAATGCACGGGGTGATGCTATGAGGGGGAGTAAAGTTAAAATCCGTTGGCATTCGCCAGTGAGTTAACGTAAGCTCCCCCGTGTGATCACATTGCGATTCCCAGGAACCATTAGACCCTCTCGGGAAATCTTGGTGAGTTTACGCGTATACAGTCGCCGACCGTTTATTCGGACGCCGAAAATTCGGACATGCCCGTTTATTCGGACATCTTCGTGGCACCGCCACTCGCCCCATTGAACCTAATGTAAACTCACGACCGAAAATTCGGACGCCCCGCTGTGCGCCGTTCGATTATTCGGACTCCGTTTGACTGACCGGATGCGTCGCCGTATGCCATGACACGCTGACAGGGACGTTAACAATACGTTTGCTAGGTTGCCAGCACTGATATGCTGCACTAGCTATGGATGGACGTCGGGCCAGTGTCAAAATGCACGCAGAAATCGCCATTGCCGATCTCGAAGGCTATGTTTGGCGACACGTTTTTTTTCGGTTTTAGCCAGTCGAGCGGCCAAGCCAAGCCACTTACAGAGTCTGTTCGCTGTGGCGTTTGGCGTGGTTTGGCGTTTGTGTCAGCGTGTCAGTGGTGTCAGTCAGTTGCTTCTGCGGGTAGGCCTGGTTCGTCTTGTTCTCTGTGTTCTCGCTCTCTTGTGTGTTCCGTGGCGTGCTGAAATGGCTCCGACGTCACCCGTTGCTGCGCCGTCGCGAGTGAAGAAACGCGGCCAACGTGGGAGCTACAAGACGCTCACGATGGCGAAGAAAGCGGAGATAATACGCCAGGTAGAAGGCGGCCGACCTCAGTCTGAAGTTGCTCGGGAACTTTCCATTTCCAAGCAAACCGTCTCGGACTACCTCAAGCAGAAGGCTAAGATCCTGGAGGCAGCTGAGAAAGCGTCTGCGGGTACGCAGAAAAATTTCCAGGACGGCAGCCACCCGCAGCTTGAAGAAGCGCTGAACATGTGGTTGAGTGCCACGGTGGCTAGGAAAATACCCGTGTCTGGCGATCTGCTGAGACAGAAAGCAGAGACGCTCGCCCTGCGCATGGGTATTACCGGCTGCAAGTTCAGTGACGTGTGGTTGCGCAACTTTAAGAAAAGGTACGACCTGGCCTTCAAGCGAATGTGCGGCGAGAGTGGTTCCGTCGACGAAACGCTCGTGACCAACTACCGCGCCGACAAGCTGTGCGCACTGCTGCGCCAGTATCCACCAGAAAACGTCTTTAATTGTGACGAGACTGGACTTTTCTATAAGATGCTGCCCGACAAGACGCTAGCTTTGTCTGGCGAACCCTGTCATGGGGGGAAGCATAGCAAGGAGCGACTGACAGTTGTTGTAGGAGGCAACATGACGGGGACGGAGAAACTTCCGCTCCTCGTGATAGGGAAATCAAAAAATCCAAGATGTTTTAAAGGCGTCAAATCACTCCCTGTGTGGTATGAAGCAAATTCGAAGGCGTGGATTACGCAAAACCTCTTCGAACAGTACCTTCGCAAGCTCGACCAGCCGGTACGAACAGCAAAATCGCAAGGTGCTGATGTTCGTCGACAACTGCGGTGCCCATGGGCATATCGACAACTTCAAGGCTATGACAGTGGAGTTTTTGCCGCCTAACACGACAAGCGTGTTGCAGCCCATGGACCAAGGCGTGATCAAAAACATGAAAGTTCATTACCGGTCGCGCCTCCTGAATCGTGTGCTGTTATGCGTCGACAGTAACAAAAACTACGTCGTGGATGTTCTGACGGCCATCAGCATGTTGTCCGATGCCCGAAGTCAGTGACTCAGGAAACGATCCACAACTGCTTCCTGCCACGCAGGATTTATTACTGGGATTGAGGAGGACAGTGCCACAGGCCAGAACCCCGCGGTTGAGAGTCCGCCTACCGCAGCAGCGGACATTCTGGACGACCTTCGTGCTAGCAGGGTCGATGTGGGGGCGGGTACGTTTGAAGAGTTCGCCAACTTCGACAGTGCCGTTTTGCCTTGCGCAGAGTTGGACGATGACGAGATCGTCCGTCAGGTCTGCGAGCCGGCGCTGGCGGACAGTGACTCCGACGATGACGCGCCGCCCGCACCACAGCCATCAAATGCGGACTTAGCGCAGGCCATATCGATGCTGTTGTCTGTCTACAGCGACGGCCAGACACTCGCAGAGGTACAGGCCGACGTGGTCGCGCGTAAGCGTGCGTGTGTGCAGACGCGCATAGACAGTTTGTTCGGGCGATCGGGCCAATAAAAGTGCTTTTTTTCGAGTGAATCCGTTTTTTCGGACTCCCGATTATTCGGACTTTTCGGGTCGAGTCCGAATAAACGGTCGGCGGCTGTATGTGAGAGTAAATCCGCACTATAATAATGTTTATGTCCGCGGCCCAGTTCGCCCACTTGCGCTCGGCATCACGGGCCCTTCGCCGCAATGCCTTGTCTTCAACAAGCGCGACATCTTCAACAACGCGTGCAATGCTCGCATTCAATTGCATTGTACTCGTTGTTGGAGGTATCGCAGTCGAGGTTGATGCCTGCGATGAATCCATATCTATGACGACTTGGCGATCTCGAGGCTGCGCGGGCCCGCGCAATCACGTGGTGTGTGACGTCGCTGCGCCGTTGCTACAAATGCTCCTCTCCGCTCCTAGCGCCGTTGCTAGGAGAGAGGAGGAGGCGCACCGCACACGGCGGATTTAGGGTCTCTTATAAAGTGCATTCGCACTTAAAAAAATTTACACAGAACATAGTAACTAGCGTCGGACTACAACCTTTCATCATTGACTTGTAGCACAATACTGCAGACCCTTATCTGGTCATATAACTAGCCAAAATTTCTTAGTGTTACCGATTAAGATACAGCGGGAAACAAGGTACCATAAAGTATTTGGCTATTCCTTTTTGGCGACATGTAGACCTCTGCAGCAAGGTTTCAGAAAACCAGTAGCTGTCACCCAGGGTGAAGCTTGATGGCCCTCTCTGGCTGCCTCATACAAGCACTTATTGCAAACATCTGGGGTTTTACACCCTGAAAACAGAATATTATTACACGTAGAATAGAAATATTCACATATTTACAATACATAAAAGGTGTAATGCTGACGGGCTATGACAAGTAGACCACCATCAATATAAGCCCAGTCACATCAACTTAACTAGTAGCATACTCTAGTCCACAGTGTCACAAACCCCTTTGTGATGTCAACTCCCGATGGCCGAAGCACTGTCTCAGTGCATTGGACCGGTGTAAGTGATGTAGAAACGAAGGCTTGGGGGTTAGCGGCGACATCTCTTATGCGACTTTGGTTACTTGGCGAAGAACTCGGTATGGCCTAATGTAGCGTGGTAGCAGTTTTTCACTCAAAGGAAAGCAAGATCATGGAGCCAGGGCTAAAACACATGTGCCAGTAGTGGCTATTGAACTGATGCTTTTGGTCAGCCTGGGACACCAGAAGTCGATCTCAGGCACAGAGATGTTCTGTTGCCACGCGAACAATGACGTCATGAAGTGTAGGATGTGGTTCCTCAAAAGGAAGTAGCGAGTCGAGAGGCAAGAGCTCCCTGCTGCCATAGAGCAGATATAACGAAGAATAACCATTGACATGATGATGGAACGAAGTATAGGCAAACGTCGGGAATGGTAAGGTGCATTTCCAATCCTTCACACTGCAGCAAATGTTGCTTGTACACAGAGATTTCGCATCGTTAACTGGCATACACACATTAGGGAAGTCCGAACAATTCAAACGAGTCGTCCGCTTTTCTATTTTTGTACGCTGAGTGATCTTTTCCGAATTCTTCGTGTGTGACAGCTATTATTTATTCTGCGCTTTGCTGGTATCCGAAGCACATCACGAGATGCAAATTTGCAACTGGTAGTTGGCACGTCGTTAAATAGTTCACCGCAGACCTCGAAGGCATATCAGGCGTTTTGGTGCACAGCCTGGGCCTGGCTATGCACCAAAATGCCTGACAAGTCTACTGGGAGGCACTGAAATTATTTCGGCTATGGTTATCCGACTTCTTGAGCAGGATAAAAATAACATAAATACGCGTTTTCAAACGATTTTGCTGTCCGTAAGTAGTCCCTGAAATTGAACATCATATTGCAATAGCGACCTTTAGCTCAGTTTAATTGCTTGGCTCAGATTTGATCGTACGCAAGGTCTACCATGATGCGCTTTAATAAAAGAACCATTAGTACAATAAAACCTCGTTAATTGGAACGAGCTTATTTTGCAATCGAGCTCACTTCGAAGTATTTCAGTGCTCCCGTATTTTGCAATGCAAGTTTGAGCGGATAATGTGAAGCGGCAGTCAGCACAAGCATAGTTAATTCGAAAACTTTGGGTACATTGTGCCGATTCCCGGTCCCAATTTCGCCACAAATCGACAAAACGACGGCCCTTAAGAGCCACTAGGCAATGTACTTTAGTGATACCTAATTTAGTAGTAGCTGAAGGCACACCTGCCATGCTACTTCCAGTACGTAAAATAAAGTTATAAAAAAAATTATTTTGTAGTCAACTGTGCAAAAACAAGACGTGTTTCCCTGCACTACAGGGGTGACGTGCACGCAGCATGTTGCATGCTTTTCACAACGTCAGCGCATCACTGATTCATCTATTCTTTCTGGAAACTGAAATAAATTATTAAAGAGCAGTCTCGAGAAAACTGCCGATGTATGCGAACTCCGA